TCTCTCTCTCTCTCTCTCTCTCTCTCTCTCTCTCTCTCTCTCTCTCTTCTCTCTTTCTCTCTCTCTCTGTCTCTCTTTCCCTCTCTCATTCCTCATTCTCTCTGTCTCTCTCATTCTCTGTCTCTGTCTCTCTCTGTCTCTCTGTCTCTCTCTCATATTATGCTTCCAGAGTCAGCTCTGATTTTGTATATGGGTTTTCTAGTCTGGAGGTGGATTTTGTTTCCCCAGCACTTAGAAGACTGATGCTTTTGTTTTTATCCCTGAAATGCATTACTCATTGTCCTCCTTGGCCTGGGACAGATGGAAATATGAACTACTTCAGTACAATCTAATTTCCCTGTGGGTCATAAGCATCCTGAGGGACTATGTCATCATGCTGTGGAAGGCCACAGAAACTTCTGGAACAGGCCTGAGCAGCCAATGAATCATTCACCCCTGTTTGCTCTTGTCGGTCTCTCAAATGCACATTGCCATGGCCCCATTCTGTGCAGTTACGGATGTCTTGTTTCCACCTCAGGCCGGAGAGCTTTGCCATTGGATCAGTCCAGTGTGTCTTGGTCTGATAAACAAATACTCACGGTTTCTGGGGCTCTGGCCAATCTGTGCTTACTCAGGGCCCTTAGATAGAGTCTTGATCAGCCCCTGAACTTATGAATGAAGAAACTAACACCCAGAGGCTTACCCAAGGTCACATAGCAAGCCATGCCAAAACCAGGGTTAGATAGCCTGACTTTTAAACAGACATCGGTCATTGAGGAAGGTAATGAGCTTGACATTCAAATTTTATTTGATAAATCATGAAAACCTGTGGTAGTGATATCTGAATATTTATGAAATATTTGGTTGGCATGAGACCAAATCTATGTGACCTTGGGTAAATCACTATACCTCTCCAGGCCTCAGTTTCCTTGTCTTTAAGAGGAGGGTGATTCAAAGGGTCATTCCAGCTCTATTTAGGTGAATATCCTCCATTCCCAGGTGGAAGATGACCAAGGCAATAACCAAGGTCACACCAGTAGGAAGTGATGGCCTCACCTCTGTCACTGAACTTGTAACCCTGGGCAAGTCCCTGGGCCTCAGTTTTTTCATCTGTAAAGCAAAGGGTTTGGATGACATTGAACAAGGTCTTTCTCTATTCTAGAGCTATACCCTATGAACCTCCCTGAGCCTTAGTTCCTTTATAAATTTATGAGGTAGCACTGGATGCTGTTAAAGAGAGCTCCTTTCAGCCCTAGGTCAGTGAACCCATGTGCCTCTCTGGACCTCAGTTACTTTTCTCCTCTGTAATTTTGATGAGATGATCTCATCGGGTCCTTCCAACTCTAGAGCCAGGGAACCCCGAAGATCTGTACCATTTTTTATCTCGGTATACAAAAAGAACTTCTTTATTCACCTTGCTTCTCCTCTCACTTTTCCAGGGACAATTTCATCCACCAAGCGCACGGGGATTCCGGCTCCTCGAGAGCTTTCCACACCCGTCTCCAGAGAGAGATCTGCCCTTCGAGGTCCCACCAGTGCAAAGAAACCAATCCCCAGTCCAATATCCTCCAGTACCCCGACTCCTACCAAGCACTTAAGAGGTGCCAATAAATCCAAGCAGGAGAATGAAGGCGGGGAAAAGGCATTACTGGAATCCCAGGTCCGGGAACTCCTGGCAGAAGCCAAAACAAAAGATTTTGAAATCAGCAGGCTCCGGAGCGAACTCAAGAAATTCAAAGACAAAGGGTCCCCAAATGCTGCGGAAGGGACTGAGGCTTTTGATCAAAATGGCGAAGGGTTGCCAGCCTCCCCTGGGGATCTAGATCCTTTGATAAGAACTCTTCAGGAGAAGAACAGAAATTTCCAAAAAGAGCTAGTAGATCTCGGGGAGGAAAATCGGGCTCTGAAAGAGAAATTGGCGTACATGGAGCATTCCCCCAGCTCGGAGGCGGCCACGAGCAACGATGGGGGTAGCAGCCTGCCCACACCGACTACTCAGGAGTCAAGCTTTGGAAGCCCAACGAGAAACCAGCTTTCAGGAGAAATGGAGGAATACAAACAGACCGGCAGTACCTTACGAACCTCAGGGTCCTCGAGCAGTGACGTGACCAAGGCTTCTCTGTCCCCAGACGCTTCCGATTTTGAGCACATAGCCGAGGCTCCTTCCAGGCCCCTGTCCTCGGGCAGCAACCCCTTCAAGAGCCCCCGGTGCTCCACGGGCGGCAGCTCCCCCAACAACATCAGCGAGCTGTCCGTGGCTTCTCTCACCGAGAAGATCCAGAAGATGGAGGAGAACCATCACAGCACCACGGAAGAGCTGCAGGCCACCTTGCAGGAGCTGTCAGACCAGCAGCAGATGGTCCAAGAGCTGACGGCCGAGAACGAGAAGCTGGTGGACGAGAAGACCCTTCTGGAGACGTCCTTCCACCAACACCGGGAGCGAGCCGAGCAGCTGAGCCAGGAGAACGAGAAGCTGCTGAGCCTCCTGCAGGAGCGCGCGCAGGAGCAGGAGGCCGCCGGCCAGGACAAGGCCTTGGAGCTGGAGCAGAAGTGCACGGAGATCCTGGAGAACGCCGAGTTCGAGAGAGAGAAGCTGCTCAACATCCAGCAGCAGCTGACCTGCAGCCTGCGCAAGATGGAAGGCGAGCACCAGGGCGCCGCCGAGCTCATTAAGCGTCTCCAGGAGGAGAACGCGCAGCTCAGCGGGCTTCTGGACGCGGAGCGGCACAAGGGCGGCCTGGCGGCCCAAGCCCTGGAGGACTGCCGCGTCAGCCTGGAGGCGCTCCAGATCGAGAACGCCTCCCTGCGGGCCCAGCTGGAGAGCAAGCAGCAGAAGGCGGCCGAGCTGAGCGCCACGGGCCACGTGAGGGACACGTCCGAGGTGCAGGAGAAGCTCAAGGCGGCCCGGGCCGAGAAGGACCAGCTGGAGCGCTCCTGCCTGGAGCTCAAGCAAGAGCTGCTGAAGGCCAACAGCGAGATCCAGCACATCCAGAGCATGCTGGCAAAGGTAAGATGGCGCTCGCTGCCCGGCCCACAGCCCAGCCCCCAGCCCGCTTCTCTTCTTCAGCCCCCCAAGCCTCAGCCCTACCCAGCTCTGCGTGTCTACTTAGCACTTGCTGTATGCCGTCGTGATATGTGTATTTCAATATGATGTCAATATACTTTATGTGATTTGGAAAAGGGATCCGTTGCCTTTACTACACTGCCAAAGGGGTAGATGACCCCTCAAAAGTTAAGAACCCCTGCCTTATGGTATGGTAGAGTGGGAGGAAGATTTGTATGTGCAGAAAGAGGGCAGCATTCAGAGATCTGCTGTGGGACCTAGAGCACTGTTAGTTATTATTTAATATACTAAATCTAATCTAATCTATACAGGTACACAGTAGATAACAGAAGAGCACTGTTAGTTATTAGTTAATAAACTAATAGTTAGCATAGGCACTGTGCTAAACGCTGGGGATACAAAAAAGAGTCAAAAGGCAGTACCTGCCCTCAAGGAGTTTGCATTCTATGGGGAGGAAATGACAGGTACTTGGGAAATCAAAAAGATATACAAAGTACACAAGCAAATTAAAAATATAGACGAAATATTTTTATAGTGAGTGGAGTGGCAAGGATTTCGGTAGGGTCTGGAGGGATCTGTTTCAGCCTTGTGTAGGAGGCGGCATTTGAATTGAGGAAGCCGGAAATTCCAAGAGACAAAGGTGGGGAAGGGAGTGCACTTTAGGCATAGGGCACAGCCTGGGCAAAGACCTGGAGATGAGAGATGGAATTTCATGGTTCAGAAATAGCAAGTACATGAGTTTGACTGGAATACCAAATGCATAAGATATATAGTAAGGTGAAATCAGCCAGGAAAGACAGACTGGAACCCCAGTGCAAATGTCAGAGAGGGGCTTATATTTTATCCATAATCCTTCCATTGAAGTGACAAAGTGGTTGAGGGCGGGGACAGTTCTCTTTCTAGGTCTGGTGCTCCCCTCAGAGCCTAAGACCTTCATGCTCTTGGTGTTACTGGATCCTGGGATCCAATCCCTACGCCTAAAAAGGTTGTTGACTTTTTTTTTTTTTTTAGCAGAGGCAGTTAAATGGCTGACCTGAAAATTTTTAAATGAAGAATAAATGGATTCAGATTGAGTCACAAGTTAATATTCAAACAAGGGAACTTAATTCTATTCTAAATCATGAACCTGACACACCATTGTTTGGCAAAGTGGGGTTATTATTGTAGGGTCAAAAATGAGGTAATGCCAGACAGAAAAATAAACACAGTCCTATGGTGTTCAGTCATTCAAGAGGCCACCTGGCTCAGTGGGCAGAGCACTGACCTTGGAGTCAGGAAGGCCCGGGGTCAAATCCACTTCCTAGAAGTGTGATTCTGGGCAAGTCACTTCACCTCTGCCTCAATTTCCTCATCTGTAAAATGGAGAGGTTGGACTTAGTAGTTTCTAAGGTCCTTTTCAGGTCTTAAAACTGTAATCCTATGAAATAGGAATGGACAGACAGCTGAGGGTTGGGGGTTGAGTGCTGGGTTTATAGAGTTGCCATTAAATCTGGCCACTTGCTAGCTGTGTGACCCTGGGTGAGTCACTTAAAACCTCTGACCTTCAAGCAAACCCCCTGGGACTTATCTGTGAAGTCCTAGCCTAGGGTTGCAATCAGCTGGTGGAAGGAATTCCCACTCCAGAAATACTGGCTTGCTGATTGTGTGTTCATATCACGTGAGATGGTACACTTTCAATTTGGGAGACGCTTGAAACTTTCAGAAAGTGTAGGGTCAGTTAAGTATCAAGGGAGATATAGTATTATAGCATCAGACCTGCAGTCAGGAAGGTCTGAGTTCAAATCTCAACTCAGACACTAGCTCTGTGACCCTGGGCAAGTCAGTTAAAAACAAAACAAAATGGGAAAAAAATACAAACAAAAAAAATCCTCTATTTGCCTGTTTCCTCATCTGTAAAATGGGGATAATCATAGCACCTCACTCCCAGAGCTGTTGTGGAGAAAAATTGAGCTAAGAACAGAGCCTAGAACGGGGTATTATAAATGTTATCTATTGTTGTTATTGTTGTTGTTATCGCCCAAAAGAACAAGAATCATACAGTGTCCGGGGCCAAAAACCTAGTCATTCAAATAGTCTTTTTTTTACAATTTTTTTTATTTTTTATTTTTTTATTAATTTATTTTGATTTATCAATAATCACTTCCATATGCTTTTGAATTTAAAATTTTTCTCCCTCTTCCTCCCCACCACCCTCCTTAAGACGGCGCACAATCTGATAGAGGCTATACATTCACATTCATATTAAACATATTTTCACATTAGTGATGTTGTAAGTAGAAATTAAAACCAATAGGAGGAATCATCAGAAAAAGGAAACAAAACTCAACAGAAGAGAAAAAAAATAACAATTCGGCTTCCATAGTTCTTTCTTTGGGTGTGGATAGCATTTTCCATCACAAGGCCTCTGGAGATGTCTTAGATCCTTGTATTGCCAGGAAGGGTTAAGTTTATCAATATTAGTCATCACACAACATGGCTGTTATTGTGTACAACGTTCTCTTGGTTCTGCTCACTTTGCTCAGCATCAGACCATACAAGTCTTTCCAGGTTTTTCTGAAGTCAGCCTGTTCATCATTTCTTATAGCACAATAGTATTCCATCACAATTTGCTCAGCCATTCCCCAATTGATGGGCATTCAGATAGTCTTTTGAAAGCAAAAAATCCTCAGATTTAACATCCTTTTTATATCATTGAAGCCTGGCACCAGAGGTGGGGTGGTAGAGTGGAGAGGGGGCCTACCTCCAAGTCAGGAAGCCCCAGGTTCAAATCCTGCCTCTTGACACCTGCGTGCAGGTCTCTGAGCTTTCTCTCTGTGCCCCGACCTCTCTCTGAGGTGCCAAGGGGCTGAGTAGGTTGAGGGAGCTCCTTCTTGCCAGTGAAATCACCAGCCCAGCCAACAGCATCAAACATGGCACCTTCCTTCTACCATGTTAAAAAAAAAAGCCTCCTAGGGGCAGCTAGGTGGTACAGTGAATAGAGCAACTGGTCCTGGATTCAGGAGGACCTGAGTTCAAATCCGGCCTCAGACACACAACACTTACTAGCTGTGTGACCCTGGGCAAGTCACTTAACCCCATTGCCTAACCCCCCCCTTCAAAAAAAAAGCCTCCTTTCTGTGCTTCAGACAAACCAGTGATTTCTGACCTCAGTTCTTTCTTTTCAAATAATTTTTTCTGATACCTTTTGTTTTACTATAACCTATATTTCCCATTGTCTCTCCTTCCCCTTCCCCCTTGGTGAGTCCCAGTGTAGACCTCCCATTGAGCCAACCCTCATAACAAAGAAGTTTTTAAAAAGAAGAAAAAAAAGCAGTTTAGCAAACTAAGATATTGACAACAGTCTGACATCATATGCAGCTTTTTGCACCTGTAGCCCTCCACCTCTGCAAAAAAGCAGGGGGAGGGGCGAGGCACCCTCTCATTCCTTTACTTTTCTTTCTATCTCTTTCCTTGTTTCTTTCTTTCTTTTATCATGTACTTTTCAAAGCCTAGGCCAGCATAGCTGCTGGATGATGTTCTGGGAAAGCTGGCCCATTCCACTCCTGCTGAGACTTAACATTGATTAGCTTAACTAGGACCTAAATTATTAAGCCCTATATACATGCTAGCTGTTATTATATTTAAAAAGATAAGAGGTGTGCCTTAAGGTTTGCAAATCCCTTTATGGAGTGGTATCTCATTTGATCCTCACAACAGCTCCATGAGGTAGATGCTCTTATTATCTCCATTTTACAGATGAGGAAACTGAAGCATAGAGAGACTCCACAGCTGGTGAGCCACTGAGGCAGGATTTGAACTCAGGTCTTCCTGACCCCACTGTACCCTCTACCTCCCTCATTTTCTTGTTCAGTTGTTTAAGTCACATCTGACTCTTTGTGACCCCATTTGGGATTTTCTTGGCAAAGATGCTAGAGTTGTTTGCCATTTCCTTCTCCATCTCTGATTTTATAGACGGGGAAACTGAGGCCCAGAAAGTTAAATGACTTATCCAAAGTTGTTTGGGAGGTGTGGAGGTGGGATATGGACTCAGGTCCTCTCCCTCCAAACCTTCTTTACCAGAATAGGAGCAAAAGTACTCAACTTTAGAGAGGAGAGACTGTTGCCACCAGGTGCCAAGGACCAGTCAGCCTGCTCCTCAGAGCCCCAGCTCCCTTTGCCAGAGCCAGTTTCCACTTCCTCCCTTGACTCCCTTGACTCCAGATCATCAGAGAGGCAGGAGAAACTTGGGATTGCCACCTCCCTCCCCCACCCTGATCTGGAGAACAGCAACAAAAACACTCTTAGTAAGAGAAGAAAAGGCCAGGGAGAAAGCATCCCAGAATGCTTTGTTTCTTTGACATCTTCCCAACACCAGAGAGCTAGCATTCATTTGTTTGATCCTGTGAAAGGAACAGGTCCCTTTTTAGGACTGAACAACAGATGAAAAGATGCTCGCCAAGTTTCTTTGCAGTATCTTTGTTCAGTGACTAGGTTATTGGCGGGGCAGGATTTGGAATTGGGGTTCCCCTCTTCTTATTTTCAAAACATTTATCTGATTTTAGTTGTTGTTGTATCTTCCTTTCCTTGCAAAGCTAATGCTGCAGACCTATCCCCGTGGCCAGCTTTTCGTCCCCCGGCAATGCATGAATGATGACAATAGCAGAGATTGGCATGGCGTTTGAAGGCTTGGGAAGTGCCATGTGCACATTCTACGTTCCCTGATCCTCCAAGCTGCTAGAGAAGCGGGGGAGGAGCTCTCAACTTGAGGCCCGGGAACTTGTTCTTTCACACTATTTCTCTGACGATTTCAGGATAATTACTTTGGTTTGTAGTTCAGTGCATTTGACTTCATGGGTTGAAAGTCGTGGTTCTGGAGAAGGGTCCATAGGCTGGTCCCAGACACAGACAGGGGTCAGAAGCCTTGTGTCAGTGCCTCTCCCACTGGGACTGGACCTGGGATCTCA